GGTTCTTGTTCTGGTCTGCACCTATACGGTATGCAACATCACTACAGGGTAGCCGCTCCGCAAAGCAGTAGCCATAGCTACAGTGAGGTGGAAAAAGGGTGGGGGGTTGGAGTGATCATGGGAGAAGGACAGTGGTGGGAACAGGCAGACGTAGCTGGCGATGGTCAAAGAGCAAACACAACATTGTCAGAGTCTACAGCATTGTTAGGCGCAAGAGGAGTGGACAGAGAGAGGAGAGAGTGAGAGAGAGAAGGTAGGCCATATATAGAGAGAGAGTAGGAAAGTAGTATAGGCAGTCACATTACGGTAGAGCGGCTACATTGCAGTTGTACTGATGAGTGGAAGGCTCCCAGTTAGGTGCAGAGACCGAGGCCCACATACCCCCAGTCCGGAAGGTTCTCAGACTGGCAAGAGCCCTGTCCCAGCCAGGCAGTCGCCGCCTCCAGAAAGCAAAAAAAAGACTGAGGTCACAGCATTCCACATGTTCAGAGGCACAGGGTCACAGGGTGAGCTCATTGACGAAGAATGGGAGCAGGAGGCACAGGGTAGCTGCTCCGCTTTGCAGCAGCCACGCCGAGTTGGAGGATGGGTGGGGGGTTGGGGTGATCATGGGGGAAGGACAGCGGTGGGAACAGGCAGACTTAGCTGGCGACGGCCAAAGAGCCCACACACTGTGGTCAGTGTCTACAGTATTGTTAGGCGTGAGGAGCGTGGACAGAGAGGAGAGAGAGTCAGAGAGAGAGAGAGAGAGGAGGAAAGTAGTATAGGTGGTCACATCATAGTAGAGCGGCTACATTGCACTTGTATTGATAAGCGGATGGAAGAAGCCAGGCTCTCTTTATCAAGAGCCTCCAGCATCAGCATGTTCTCATTTTGATACGCTCTCGGCCCTTGTAATTCTGCTTTCGACTTTGCTCATCCATGCTGGCTTTGAGTCATTTGCTGCTCAGAATATTCGTGTTCTCTCAGTTCCTTGCACAAAGCATGAATGGATGTAATTTTTGCACTGAACTTGTGATTTCCTTCCCTTCATGCTGCCACCCGACTTGCAATCAGTTACGAGCACAGTTGCGGCGCACCTCGGTGCGCGGACTTGGGCACGCGCACCGCACCAGAAAAATTATGGTCAAAAAAAAAAAAAAAAAGTAGGGGTTCCGTAATTTCCGACAGCACCCTCCCTGGAAAAAAATGTCCAACTTGCCGCGCGAGTTCAGAAAAAGTCCGTGCCCCTTGGCCCAAAAAAATTGTTTTGGGCAAGGGTTGCCGAATTCTGAATTCTGCAGTCTGCTAGCCTGCTACCCCACAAATTTCAAAATTGCTGGATATGAAAATAGGGCTCATTGAGCCTCTAGGTTTTTCTTTTTGGGTGGGGTATGATAACTGGGCTTCCCCTTTCCTTCTGCAAATCCCACACAGTGGTGGACAAATTTGCAAGAAGAGTATAATTGCCCAGTATTGCCGTGGTCACTCGGTCTAGCAGATGGCACATGTAATGTTTGATGAGTCCAGACGACCACCACTATATGGTGAAGTTTGGCGTTCAGGTCTGCATGTCGGCAGTTATGGGTTAGGAATAAGATGCCCATAGCTCTCTCGCTTTTGCTTTTTGTTTTCTTCTGAATACGTACAGTGGCGGTGAAGATGCCTGTAGCTCTCTCGTTTTTCCCTTTTTGTCTTCTTCTGAATACGTACAGTGGCCCAAAGGGACTCTGGCCACTACCCACCACATCCACAAAAGACATACCATATGACGGTGTATGGCTCCATGTTTTAGCAGAACATTCATTCAGATGTTATTCATTCGGTGAGTACCACTGAGCGGTGGAGGTAGGCCCTGAGAATCACGTGGAGACGCGAACAGGGTCTAGCTGAATTGGTCACCCATAACTCCCGAGCTACAGACCTGAACTCGCCCCCACAGAATATATTGGTGGTCTGCAACCACCACTCTCATTGTTACGCGCCCACCCTGCTTGCCGAGACGACCGTAACCAATCCCTCCACAATGCCGAAGTGCTGAAGTGCTTCGTGAAGGGCATTGTGGGAGTCATATGAGTTACCTGCAGGGGGCCCTAAATTGACGAAAAAGGAACCCTTTGCTCTCTCTCTCTCTCTCTCTCTCTTTGTGGCACGAATAAATGTTTTATTTATTATTTTTACTATTTCTATATATCTACATATTATACAAGCAGGTGTAGCCAGCGCAGCTTGCGCCCGCGAACACCATCAGGAAGCAACCCCAATAAAGAATCTCACGTCCTTCTTTCTGTCTCTGACCGTGACGTTTGACATTGTTGGTTGCTATCTTACCTTTCTTTCACTGTTCTTTTTTTTTYTTCTTCTTCTTTTCCGTCTTTAACGTTTTCAGATCATGATCGTCGTTCACTGAAATCATCAACATCAGCATCCAAACTGACAAAAACCAAACAACATCACAGCCGTTTCATTGTGAGAAAGCCGCGGAAAAAGTCATTAGAGAAACTCAATTTTATCGATCAAATGAAGCACAACCCACCGGCCCCAAGCACCACCGACCGCCCGCAAGCACCCACCGACCGCANGAACAGCCAAATACAACAAAACAGGGGGCAACAAGCAATAGCACCAAAAACGGATCCTAGATGACAAGTCCCACATGCAAGCGCCGCCCCTCCTTAACAGGCCAAACGACAGGACAAGACCACCCAGGACAAAACTCTTGTCTGCAGAAAAAGAAGAATCCCAGATTACATATCTATATACAGCAGATGGCCTTGTTCTTCATCAAAACGTGGGTATTCCCATATATATCGTCATATATACATTTTCGTGCACCTGGCGCATCTTCCACAGCGTGTGCACTGTGCAATGCGTACAGTGCACAGTGCGCGCGCTGGAATTCCAGTGCACAGTGCGCACGCTGGAATTCCAGCACACAGCGCAATGCGTACAACGCACAGTGCGCGCGCTGGAATTCCAGCGCACAGCGCACTGCGCACCGCACCGCCCCGCACTGTGCACTGGTGGGCCGCAAGTATAGTTTAGAGGCCTGGATTATAATAACAACATATAGGAACACCATGCCATTGTTTTTGTTCAGAAGCAGGGAACAGAACTTTGAACAACAGAGCTACACAAGGACGACACACAAATCGAGAAATCGTCCAAACAAAAAAAATAAAAACAATACGACTGGGTATTCATGGAAGGGGTGGCAAAGAGTAGGTAACTGACACTTAATCTTCTCGGTTGCACTCGCAGACGGGCTGAAGGCAGACAGGACTGCAACGAAGTCCTTGAAGTTCACACCTTCAAACAACCTGAGCAGATGCTGAAGCATACATCCAAATTTGATGCAAAGCACACCCCACAGAAGCAGAGCCACCCAATCCAATAGGTACAGGTTACCAGATCAAGAAGCTCACAGCTTACAGAGCCAGTGCCATCAAATCCAAGAGGACACACACAGCAAAATTGTAGGAGACCACATGCCAAGCGAGGCAGAAATTCCAAAATAGCAATCCACAGAAAACGGACACAAAGAGCCGAGCAGTTTAGCCACAGATGTGCAACTGATCGCCATAGAGTACATTCTGTATTTCATGAATTATCGTTTGACCAGCTCTCGCGCAGCAATAAAAATGCAGGTGCTCAGGGAGTGCGTATTTGAACCATAGTTGCAGCTCACCAGTGCGCAGTACGGGGCGGTGCAGTGCGCACTGCGCTGTGCGCTGGAATGACAGTGCGCTGGAATGACAGAGCGCGCACTGTGCGCCGTGCGCTGTGCTCAGTGTGATCCGCTGTACGCGGTGCGCGCGCTGAGGGAAATGTGCCCTGTGCGCTATAATATTAAAAAAAAAAAAGGATAGGCCCCAAGAGAGAGAGAGAGAGAGAGAGTGTGAAAGAGAGAGAGAGAGAGAGAGAGTGTGAAAGAGAGAAAGAGAGAGAGAGAGTGTGAAAGAGAGAAAGAGAGAGAGAGAGAACAAAAGGTCCCCTTCACGTCAATTCGAAGGCCCCTGCAGGTACCTCGAATGGCTCCTACAATACATGTGGAGCCATTGAGGGTCACTGCCTCAATGAGAAAGATGGCCTCGTCATGTGTGGAAGAGATGGGGGCAGACCACCAATATATGCTGTGGATTCGAGTTCAGGGCTGTAGCTCGGCATTATGGGTCACCAATTCAGCTAGACCCTGTTCATGTCTCCACGTGATGAGTAGTGGAGCAGGCCCCACTGGACGTAAAAACAAAAAAACGAGAGAGCCACGGGCATCTTCATCCTAACCCATAACTGCCGACATTTGGTGAGTAGTGGAGCCACAGGTCGTTATTAGGCGACTACCCCTTCTTGAGAACTCACCCCACCACTGTGTGGGATTTGCAGAAGGGAGCGGGAAGGACAGCTTCCATACCCCGCCTAGAAAAAAAAAGTTGCAATGAGCCCTATTTTATGCTTCGCCATTCTGGGGGGAAGGGCCTGCGGAAATCAGAATTCGGCAGCCCTTGCCCAAAAGAAAAATTTGGGCCAAGGGCCCGGCCGATTTCCAAGCTCGCATGGTGACTTTAACATTTTTGCCAAGTTGGGGGCCCTGAAATTACAAAAACCCTACTTTTCTTTTTTTTTTTGGACCTAATTTTTCCAGTGTGCTGCGTTTCGGTGCGCTGTGCGGTGCGCAATTCGTGCGCAAATCCACGCACTGATATTCGCCGCAACTATGATTTGAACTAGAGGGATCATGACTTGGGGAGTGTATTTTGAACTAGAGGAACCATGTGCAGTAACCCGTGTTCCGCAGCAGTCTGGGGGCCCGAACTGCGCCCAGACGACACAGGCCAAACACGGCCTGCGCCAGGCAGTGCAACCACGCACTGCCCCCTGGAAAGTCAAGGGTCCAAGTCGACTGTCACGTCAAAGGTACCGCGCCCAGGCCCTTGGTCGGATACACTCACTTGTTGTGCGCAGGTACCCAGACAGCATCAAGGCCACAGGGAATCCTGTTTCAGGCCAATCTGGGGCGTCATTTGCATTGAGATCTCGACGGCTGAGGGATGCAGCACCTGGGGTCCAGACCCCACGTCAAAGCTACGTAAGCGTTGACCTCTTGGATTTGGAGGACATTCTGTCTTGCGTCAATGCTGACTTCACGCGTTGACGACGACGCTAGTGCGACGATGCAACGCTACCTGGACGCTGGCTCTACGCTGGCAAACGGGCGACGCTATGCTGGCTCGGCATGGTGGCTGGCTTGCAATTGTCTTCTGGGCATGCTGATGTGGCAGCTGCCACACGCCACCGCTGACATGGCCGCTGCCACGTATATCACTGATGCTGACGTGGCGAGGTTACGAGACTGGCATTGCTGTTCTGTTTCAACGACATTCGGGAGGAGATCACGACTGTGGGGTGATAGTGGATACGTACTTGGTTATCTTGAGGTCGACATTGCTCCAGCTCGCTGATGAGAACTGATTGACGTGCCACGTGACACATTGTGATAGAACTTCAGATGCGCGTTCAGATTATTGATTACCGAGGTGGTGATCGAGGAGGGAGCCCGAAGCAGAAGTGGGCATTGTCTTCTCCCTTTTAAGTCTATTCTCCCTCCTCTCTCCTTCATCTGTGTATGTTTTTTTTATTTTCCATCTCATGGTATCTGGACACGATTATGATTATTGACAATCATCAGCAGGTTGATATTTATGGGCTGGCATTGTTCACAAGTGTCTTGACGATCTGGGTTCATTGCACATGACTAGCCTTTATTACTTCATTGTCATGCAGGGACACCGGCCAAACAACGGGAGAAGCAGTGATGGATAGACGTATCAGGAGTTGGTTTTCTCTTGTTGTCGGCATTACAGACAAAGTGAACAAGAAATAAGCACCAACTGAAGCGGTCGCCGAAACTAGAAGGGGTAAGTAAAAATTGCCAGAAAATTGACCGACCATAGAAACATAGAAGCAAGTATACAAGATGATTCAGACCCGGCGCCACGCTAAAACAACACACAGATCGATTAAAAACGAACTAAACAGTTTACAAAATTTACATTTCATTTGAGAGGGAGGGAGGAGCAAACACCTGGGCTAGAGGATTCAGTGCGAACTCAGGAACGGCCATGAACTCATCAGCTGAAATATACCCTTTCCCATTGCGATCCAGAACGCAAAACCGCTCGTAAAGTGCCTCGATCTCTCGCTGTGTAACTGCACACAATACACTCATGGATCAGTATTTCCTCACCTCCATGCATCAAATGTTCAAAGGCATTCACAAGATGGACATATTGCCAGTTTCTTTTACAGAGAGTAGTACCGAGGTGTCCTTGTCCCTCTCACCTGAGTTATCTCATCATACCATCAAAACTCCTTAAGAGAAGAGCAATCCCACCACCCACACCCATCCACTACTCCATCAAGATACGGTTGTACCAGTCCCCTCCTGGAGGGGGCACAATCACATTGCACTGCTACTATACAAAACTGAGCAGGCTCTCACATACTCATGCCAGTGCACACAGGTAGCAGCACCTCACCGAATTCCACTCAAAACTTCGCAGTAATTTAGATGCTGGTAGCCACTTTGACTCTGGCTATAACTCATGCCTCTCTACTGAGGTGTGATCACACTGCACTAATCGTTTACTATCAGTCATGCACTTCGCATGTCTACTCATTTTAATCACCAAATAGGAACGCATGCCTGTAACGACCAACCACCAACAGCTTTACCCGTCTGATCCAGATGACGCTTATACTACCCTATGATGACCTTCTCCTTTATCATTCCATTAGGCCAACCTGACACTGTGAAACTCACCAGCACGAACAGCACAAACAACCAAGCGACCATTAAAGCATCCCAGGGAACTCAACCCAGGCCAGTTCGTAACACATCTTGATTCTGAAAGGGTTAAGACCAACTGATAGCATATCAAACTGTCACATGAACCACTTCACAAAACATACTATCAGCGTGCCTCTCTCCAACCATGTGAAAGCAGCCACCAAGGCCGACCGGAGAGAGTCCTGAGGAAACTTATGTTATGATCTGAGAGACTCCCACGGAAACCTTGATCGCATGGCTCAATAGAGCCCAAGTCAGTTATGATACAAGAGATACGGGTGACTGCCAATTACACAAGGCGAAGAACAACGGGTCAGAAGAAACTCCACAAAAACTCTGAACACATTGCTCACACAGCATAAGTCTTTCATAAAATGAGACAGAGGGGTGATTCCCAATTTACCCCAGACATAAGAAGCATAGGTCGGTTGAGGCGACAGATGAGAATAACACAAAGAGAAAGGATCTACACTTCAGAGAGAGGATCTCAGCATAGAAACACACACGGGTGAGTTTGCATATTTCGGGTGTCGGGGTGATAAGGTCGAAAGGAGGGCAAGGTCGTTGGACTGGTCCCCAGAAGTTGGGATCATGCAGAAACCAATCCACTGGTTGCACTGAATGTGATTCTTTCGATGAATAGATTGACTGACTGGATTGGTAGCTGCTCAGCTTGTCGATGTGATTGGATATTTTCAATTTGATTGATTGATTGGTTGGTTGACTCGTTCCACTCATTTTGCAGACTGCAAATCATAAGAGGCTGCAGTGCCTCACTAGTAGTAAACTGCAGAGGAGGAAGCGGACGAAACGGGGGGCGCGGGGGGCTGCAAGAAGAGGCTTCATTGTGCCACATGCAACGTATGCTGGGACCACAGTCGCTGACTGATCCCAACCTCCCATTTGCGTCAGGGTGAAAAAAAACGGCAGATAGGGAGGATATACAGGACTACAATGTGTGATCCAGTTGGAGGCCAGAGCTGTGTTGTGCCACACGGAGCCACATGTATATCACGATTGAAAAATAACAGAAAAAAAAAAAACGACGCAAAGGTCTCCAAAGTCCATATTGCTTTGTTAGGCAAACCTTTAGGGACTGGAAACCTGTACCATAGCTGGTTTGATTCAAAATTCATACAGAATAAGGGGATTGACAATGGCACTACAGATTGCTCTGTGCACACATGTGCATGCACGCATGCACACTCGCACACGCACACACACACACACATACGAACAAGCACATGAGCACAGACATGCACTCGCACGCAGCTCCCACACACACCTCATCGAGTGTATGTTCTCTGTCAGACAGTACAGTGCAACTTTCACTTTGATACACAATTCAATTGAGGCGAAAACTGGATCTGAAGTTAACTACCAATTTCTGTGATCAATTGACTCAGTTACTGTCACTTCACAACTGCATCTGAATCCGTTCGCCATACACCCTCCCGATCTTCAACTACACTTATTTTCCTGACCATTCGGCTTCATAGCTAACAGGTTTCACCAACCTCTTAACTGGTTATACCGTAATGAACCCAAGTCTGAATAGCACACACCATCAACATCGTGTATGAAACTCACAATGCCCAATGAAAGACAACCACAACGACATAGCAAAATAGACCAGCTTCAAGGCAAAGGAAGACTGAGAGAGGGGGGATAAACCCAAAACAATGGTCAATTGATACCATGTCCTCCTTGCCTTCCCCCTTCTACCACCTCGTGCGGCAGAGATTTTGTTGTGGATAATGTCTGACTTGACCCAACAAGCTTTGGATGCTTCCAGAAACAGACTCTGCGCCGTTAGATGCGCGTGATCTGTGGTACATTCTACGTTATTCTACGGCAGAGATTTTGTTGTGCCTAATGTCTGACTTGCCCCATCAAGACTTGGATGCTTGCAGAAACAGACTCTGAGCCTTTGGATGCGTGTGATCTGTGGTTCATTCTACGTTCCTCTGTGGCAGAGATTTTGTTGTGGCTAATGTCTGACTTGACCCAGCAAGCCTTGGATGCTTCCAGAAACAGACTCTGAGCCTTTGGATGCGCGTGATATGTGACCGTGGTTGATGACTGGATAATTCTTTGACCTTAGGACTACCACACCTAGTACTGCCTGACGCTTCAATTTCTTAGGGCCTTGACACGAAGGCTGGAGACCCTGTGTGTTCTGTTTAGACTTTCACCCCCCCCGCCAGCTTACTGTATTTATTCTTTTTTTTCGTTTTTACAATTTTCTTGTTTTCTTTTTTGTTTTTACTTTTTCTGATTTCAGACAGTTGGCCCCATCTGCAATCTGGCGTCCATTTCCAAAATCCTTTTAGGACTTTCGGATTTCGGACGCTTGGTGCCATCCGACATTCGCCCACTCTCAGACTTTCAATTTTCAGTTCCGGCCCTGAGGCAATTTCACTTATGCCCTCATGACCGGATTTGAGTCTGGTACTTGTGTACGGACTCAAGCCCAGTACAGGCAACGAGTTTTGAGCCTCAGTGCTTGCGTTCAGTGTGACTTTGCTTCGACATTGCGTTCAGGAATTCAGGACTGCGACTTCGTGACTTTGCGACTTGGCCACTTCGTGCCTGCGTCCGTTGAGTCGAGTCGTGTCGAGTCTGCGTCGAGTTGAGTGAGCGTGTGTGTGTGCTCTCACTCTCCCTCCCACCCTCACTGATCTGCCTCTGCCTTGTCACACTGGTATCGGAGCGGCGTCGATCGCCCTCCTGCCTGCCCTGATCAACGCGGGGCAGCCTCGTCATCATCGTCTTCGTCGTCGACATGGCCACGTCATCATCGCCACGTCTTCATCGTCGACATTGCCATGCCATCGTCATCGTCGCCACGTCGGCGTCGTCGCTGCCACGTCATCAACAATCCCGAATCGTCGACGACTACGCACAGGTACATTATTATTTTTTATTTTTTTATTTTCCTCTTCCTTCTTTTCTCTTCCCTTTCTTCCCTCTTCTTCTCCATTGTTTCTCCCTTCATTTCCCCCCTCATCGTTCTCATCGTTTTCCCCCCCCGGTCGTTCTCTGAAATTGGAACCCCAAAATCGAAATCATTTTGATTACGAAATCGAATAGGTCTTTCTTCGTTGAGAGAACGCAAACTCTCGGGCAGATATACGGATCTAATAGGTCTTCTTGCAGATTCTAAATTCTTAATATATTGCTACGAGACTATCATGAGTAAGCCTGGTAACATGACTCCTGGAAAGGCGCTCGAATCGGTTTCGATTCGATTCGATTCTCCACCCCCCCCCCCCCTCTCAATCTCCATCATCATCATCATTCTCCCCCCCCCCCTTTGCGCGAACTGCTTTTCCCATCCGCGCG